GCCCAAAGACAAAACGTTTCTGTTGTTTGGTCATCGTGTAGTCAGCCTGTCAGCACCTCTCGTTCAGGTTTGGTCACCGCAGAGCGTTAATGCAGCTGTCCTGTCTGACTCACCCGTTTGGTTTAAAAAGAAAAAAAGAAAAAAGAAAAAAATGGAGGGGGGGGGGATGAAAACATCACTCTTTGATTCAATCTGCCACGGGCTCGATCAGCGCTGCTGAGAGAACAGAGGAGAGATATTTGGCCTCGTCTGCTATTGCATGGATCACACAACAATGACTTTGTAGTTTATCTTTGGTAATCACACAAGATATTAAAAAAAACATTTACAACTTAAAAAAAGCCAAATAAAACAGCAAATAAATTTAAAATTATGAATAAATAAAAAAATAACAGTGGTTGATTGCAGTCTTGGAATTCAAGCTCTCATGTTTTACAACCAAAGCTGACTTTTTTTTTGTTGCTATTTTTCCCTTTAAGTTTAACGTTTCAGACTACAACTACTGTGTTTTTTATTCTTTTCTTTTTTTAATGAGACGATGCTGAACGTGTGCGTTTGGGTCAATTTGGGGCTGTTTCTGTTGGCTGTCAGACGCTGGAATGTGCCGTGTTTTCAGGTCCCTGTGTGAAAGGAAATGAGCAATTATTAACACTCAAAAGTTAAAACTAGCCATGCGTGGGATATAAATAAAACTACGGGGAATGCAAGTTTATCTCCGAGCGCCGGATGAAATTACAGCGTTGGGAGACGGCGGACGCGTTTGATTAACAATGACGGCTGTGTTCAGGAATCACAATTAGTTGGTCTAAATCATTATCTCGCCCGTGCACACCTGACATTTTCATTTTGCCTTAAAAAAAAAAAAAGAAAAAGAGAACGCCGGAGCTTGTAAGTGATCAGAAATTGTGTTGCGGCTCAGCACGCTCTGCCGCGAGGGGCTGTTTGAAAGAATCATTTCATAAGGATAAATCATAACCTGCATGATTTCTCTGTCATTCATTCGCATCTTAAATTAAACTTCATTGATGCGTGGAGAGAGCCTTCATTATGAGTAGTGCATCGCCGATGGACTTCAGGAGCAGGAGCCGGGGGAGGTGGGGTGGGCTTCTTTTTTTATGTTTAGGAGAAAGTGGAATAAATGACAGAAAAATYCTACGCAGTATCTGACATTCTGTTTCTGTGTTTTTCTTTTCTTGTTGAAAGAACAGCATGACATCATCAACATTCATCATCGAGTCGCCGACCACACAGAAACTCCACAGCACGGACATGAGGTCTGATCAGTTTAAAAACAAAATAATTATAATAAAGATGTGACATCTGAAACAGCCTGGAATTATAGACAGGACACATTATGTAGAGAGTTTACAACATCTCACCCCCTTTCACAAAAAAAAAAAAACAACAACAACAAAAAAAAAACTAACAAAAACGTCCCTCTCCCTTCGATGGAATCAAACCAATGGGAAGTGTTGAAGGCAGTGACAACGAGCACACACACACACACACACACACACACACACACACACACACAC